TATATATATATATATATATATATATATATATATATTCTAATTTCATTAATAATAATAAATGAGTACTAATTATAATAATTTTAATAATAATAATAATAGACATAATTATGGGTGAATTTGAATGAATTTGAATCTAACTTACAATATAATTCCTAAGTTTGAGCCTAATTATTTACTTGTTACAAGCTTTTATTTTAAGGTATGAACTAACTTAAGAACATATATATTGTGGTGTGTGTTATACAAATTTTTAGTCCTTTAAGTTGATGTACATAGATCAAGAAATAACTAATAGATGTAAATTTGGACTAAAAATTAAGTTTTTATTTAATATTTAACCATCTCAACTTCATTATCTCGTTTAATTTTTCTAAAATCAAGTGATTAGTCGATAAAGAAAGTGTCTAATAGGGGTCACTAGTGGAAAATTAGGATACTATATCACCCATTTTACGTTGGACATACGAACACCCGACGTAATAAAAACGCGGTGGCATGGTTGATAATTTTAGTTAAATTATTTACGTCGGACCTTAGGGGTCCGACGTAAATTTTAACATCTACGTCGGCTATCCATTGTGTCCGACGTAGATGTTAAAATTTACGTCGGACCCAAGGAGGTCCGACGTAAATAATTCACATCACCGCACTTAAAAGAAGCTTCACACATGCTGGAGGGGATTTGAAGATTTCAAAACCTTCCTTCTCCTGCGCGTTGTGTAAATCTCCCCGCCTCCTACTCCTTCGGTTCTTCCTTCCTTATAATTTTTCTGACATTTCAGTCTCCATTTCATACGGCAAATGGGTGAGGAAGCAAAACTTTATGTTGACATTGTGATTTCCTAGTAAAACTTTTTTTCTTGCTGATAGTGTTATCCTAAATGTGTATTTTGTACTTATTATATGTGTTCCTTTTTATATTTTGAGTAGGAACAACCAGAAGAGAAGAGAAGAGAAGCCAGAGGAAAAACTAGAAGAAAAGCCAAGTCCGGGTTGCAGAACGGGCCGTTCTGCTTGAAGAACGGGCCGGCTTGAAGAACGGGTCGTTCTCCAAGCAGAACGGCCCGTTCTGCTTGCAGTCGTTTTTCTTTTTTTTAAATTTTTTTGCAATTTTTACGTCGGACTTATCATGTCCGACGTAAATTTACGTCGGTTTCTTACGGCCGACGTAAATTTACGTCTCTCGCTTCTACATCAGAGGTTTTTCTGACGTAAAATCCCTAAAAATAACCGACGTAAATTTACTATTTTGTACTAGTGGGTATAATTAGAAAAATATATTAATTAATTTTAAAATTTTAAAATGTCAATTATTTTGAAAAAAAAAAAAACTAAAAGACTAATAAGCATCTAATGTTTTAAGTCATCGGTTCCGTTCATAATTTCATATTGTGCAACTTTGCAAAACAACAATTATTTATCGATTTATTAATATTTATATGTTCCCGAATCTCTGATCTTCTTTAGCATTTTTTCCCAAAATAATTGACTTTTTAGGACTTTAAAGTCCCCAGTCAAAGAAAAAGAAAACTTTAAAGTCTAATTAATATATTTTCTTGATTATGCTCTTATTTAATAAACGTATTTTTCATCAACCGTTAACTTACATTTTGTATAAATGAGATAATATTATATTAAATAAGGACATCAGAATTTTTTAAGTCTAAATTTACATCCATTAAATATTTTTTAATTTATGTACGTTAATTTTAAAGACTAAATATTTAAGATGAATGAAGTATTAATTTGTTATTATTTAGTTTATATTTTGTGTTTTCGTGAATGGAATTCTCGAATAGAAACTATAGGATTGGTGATAAATAAGATAAACGGTGAAAATGAGAGAAGCACTGATTTTTATTTGTTGAACCACATAAGATAACACATATTAGTGTACTTGACAACAATACAAATTTTAATTATTAATGAGAAACAGAGGAAAAACAACATGAGAGAAGTTGAATCAAGGACACTTGGGTGTTCCTCTCTTGGTTTTCATGTTGTTGTAGCATGGACACTCTTCCTTGTTACCATAGGTTCCCGAAGGGACACACAAACATTTCAAACAACAATAGTTACAGAAGAAAACACACGCCTTCTTGTACTGAGTCTTTGAACAACGATAATCGCATGCGCTTGGACATTCTGAATTAATGTAACCAATGTTTCAATTGTCAACATCATCAACATGTCAAATTAATTAAAAAAAATATGACTAGAAATTAGAATCAGTACTTACGCGACGGTGTAAGCGATCCTTCGCCACCACCCTGTTAACGATATTTTAGAGAAAGGAAAATAAATAACTAAATCAGAATCCAAGAAGAAAACAAATAATACGTTACATATGTGAATTTTCCATTTATATATTTATTTATGGGAGAATAGAGGGAGAGAAACATCACTCACATAGGCAACTTGACTCACAAAAGCCATTGCAAAGATGAGAAGAATTGCGCACACAAATTTAGTCATGCTGCTTTGGCAAGTCTTTCTCTCGGAACAAAGTCTAACTGAGTCAAAAATGTGGTGAAGGTCAAGAGTTTATATAGATGCACACCGTCACTAAAATTTAATGAGGCTTGCGTATTTTGTCTACACCTAAATTAAGATTTTCATACACATAAGAGAGAGGAGAAAAAGAGGGAGAAAAAAAAATTAAGGAAGAGACATAGAAGAGAAGATGAGAGAGAAAGAGAGTGAGAGAGGAAATAGAGAGAAAAAAAAGGTCAAAAAAGAAGAAATAAACAAGAAAAAAAAAGTTATCCAAAATCTCAAAATTTTTGTGAGATTTTTAGATGGGTGAAATATGTGTAAATTCTACTAAAAAGACACAAAAAATTTATATTTCAAAATAAAATCTCTATGTTTTGAAAAATCTCTACTCAAAATAGGTTACGTGTCATTTAATGCAATTATTATTTAAATACTTCTTTTGTTTTATATTATGAAAATAAAAAAATATTTTTTGTTCTTAAATATAAGTAAATTTTAACTATTTTTATCTCATTTATTGATATTTTTTCTAAAATGTCTCTCCTTTAACACACAAGTTTTTAGTTGCATTATTTTTTTTTAAAACATTTATAATATGGACAATTTAAGAAGAATATTATGAGACTAGTAATATTTAATACAAATAACTAATTTTCTTAATATATATATAAAATCATTTTTTCTTATAATAAAAAAAAGATGGAGTAAATCAATTTTAGTAGTCTTTTTGAAATAAAATTTAATTATATGATATTATTAATAAAAATTAACTATTTTAACTATTTTTATTAGTTTTGATATTGTTTAATTTTATGATATTAGTTATTTTACACTCATGATGCATAATCTATTTTTTCTTTTAACAAAATTTTAAGTTAAATCCTTATTATTTTAAAACTTATAATAAGGTTATTTTAATTTCATATAAAAAATTATTGACTTAATATTAATAACTCACGCCTTTAAGTTGCGGGAAAAGAGGTTTTACTTTGAGCGGTCGGTCAAATTTAACGTAAACACTGACAAAATTAATAAATAGTGGTTTAAATATACTTTAAATTTATATAAATATAACTTTGTCTTATTTTGTTTTTATCATAGTTAAAAATGTCGTTTTTAGATTTTGACAATTTTTTAGTGGTTTTTTTTTATTTTATGTTCTTACTTCTTACTATTAATTATAATTATTTTAGTAAAATAAAATAAAATAATAAATATTAAAATAATTAAGATAAAAATATTTTAAATTAAGATAAATATATTATTTTGTAGGTAAATAATTTAATTAAATAATGTATTTATTATTTTACAAAAATAAAGTAA